CCGTCAGCTGGAGCGCGCCGTCCAGGTCGGCCGGGTGCACCTGCGTGCCGCCCAAGCAGCGCCGCCGCCGCAGCCGCGCCGCCGCGCCACCGTCCGCGCCGCCGCTCGACCACGCCGCGGCGAGCGTGCGGAAGCCGCCGCCGTACTGAAGGCCGATCCGCTCAAACGCCGCGTACAGCTGCCGCAGCTCCGCCGGCCGAGGGCAGAGCGCACGCGCCGACGCCAGCGACGGCGGCGCCGCGCCGCCGGGCTCGGCGCCTGCCCCGGCCAGGCCGCACGCAAAGTGTGCCGTGCGCGCCGCGCCCTCCTCCTGCCCGTAGCTAGCCACCTCGAGACGCTCCGCCGCCGCGTCCACCGACACCTCGACCCACAGACCGCCCGACTCGCCGAGCGGCAGCGGCTGCATGAAGAAGGCGCGCCGCAAGCCGACCGGCGTGTCGGCGCCGAGCTCGGCCGCCCGCGACGCCGCGCACGCCGCGCACGCCGCGCGAGCCATCTCGAGGAAGCCAGCCGCAGGGAAGAGCACCCGCCCGAGAACGACGTGGTCGGCGACGAGCGAGCGTAGCCCGCCGTCCGAAGCCGACCGGAACCGCACGGCCACACAATCGCCGGCCGCGTCGAGCCGCGCCTCCGCGAGCGGGTGGGGCGTCTCGCGCCAGCCGAACCGGCGCCGACGGTACTGCGGGCCGCACTCCACCCGCCGGGCAAGCGCCCCGCGCCCCGCCTCGCCGGGCGCCGCGCGCAACACCGCGTGCACAATCGTGCCGCTGTAGCCAAAGGAGCTCACGCCGCCCTCCTGCGAGCCGGCCGCCGCGGCCGTCGAGCGCAGCGCCGCCAGCTGAGTCGGCAGCACGCACGCCTTGCCCTCCAGCGCCGCACTCACGTGCGGGTTCAGCACCCGCAGCTGCGCGTTGGGCGGCGCCTCGGCGCCGCACAGACCAAGCAACAGGCGCAGCAGGCCGCCCGCGCCCGCCGCCGGCTCGCCGTGGCCGCAGTTGGCCTTGATGCTGCCCACCGCGAGCGCCTCGCCGCCGCCTCGCCGGGCGAGCACCGCCGCGGCGAGCGACCGCGCCTCGATCGGGTCGCCGAGCGACGTGCCCGTGCCGTGCGCCTCCGAGCAGGCGAGGCTGTCGGCGACCACGGCTGCGTCGGCGAGCGCCGCCTCGAGGAGCGACTGCTGCGCGAGCCCGTTGGGCGCGGTGAGGCTGGCGCTCTTGCCGTCCTGCCGCACGCAGCTGCCCATGACAGACACCACCAGTGGAGTTGATGATAAGCACGCCTTTAGGACGGCAGCGCAGCACGCCTCGCCACGGGCGTACCCATCAGCCCGGCGGTCGAAGGTGTGGGACCGGCCCGAAGCTGAAGTCATGCCGTTTGAGGCCATGACCAAGCTCGTCCCCGGGAGAAGCATCAAGTTGACCGCTGCGACGAGGTGCCGCGAGCAGGTGCCAGCGTCCATGGCCTGCTTCGCAAGGCAAAAGGCCACCAACGACGACGAGCAGGCGGTCTCAATCGTGAGGCAAGGGCCCTGGAGCCCGAGGACATATGAGATGCGCCCAGACGCGATTGAAAGTGCGGCGCCCGTGGCAGCGTACGTGCTCATGGGACGCTTCTGGTACAGGAGCGTCATGTAGTCCGTAGAGTAAATCGCCGTCGCCACACCAATGCAGTCGCCCAACAGGGCGCCTCTGTCTAGGCCCACTCGCCAGAGGGCTGAATACCCGTGCTCCATCAGCAAACGCTGCTGCGGGTCCATGGCAGCTGTCTCTGACGGAGAGACACTGAACCAAGCGTTGTCAAAGCGGTCGATGTCACTCAAGAAGCCACCATGGCGTACCCTCTGCTCGACCAAGCTCGAACTCGGAGCGAGAGGGGCGAGAGCCCAGCGGTCAGGCGGTACCTCCGACATCGTGTCCTTCCCGCTGATCGAGATACGCCTGAGGCCACTGAGCGATGCACTAGCGGGGACCGCGGCACTGTCCGCCTCGATGATCACGCCGCTCGTTTGCTCGGTGTGGATGCTGACGAGGCTCCCGGCCTCACTAGGCAGAGGGCTGCTCAAGGCGACGCTGCTGCCGTCGCTGCTCCACGGCAAGGAGGAGGAGGAGTCAACGCGCCCGGTGAAGTGGCCGTCGAGCTCTCGCAGGGTGGGGAAGCTAAATAGCAGCGTCTCTGGCAGTTTGCCACGGTCCTGCTCCAATCTCCCTCGGAACTCTATCATCGCGAGCGAGTCCAGCCCCGCCTCCATGAGGGGCAGGTCGATTGAGATGTGCTGGCCGAGCAGCTCGAACGCCACGTTCCGCACAGAGACCATCCGGACGGTTGGAGCGGACGAACCGGTTCCGGAGGATTCGATGCTGCTGGAGGATGGGGTGTCCGGCAGGCTGGACTCGGAGCCGCTGTTTGACGGCGGAGAGCACAGCGAGACCAAATGAGCGTGCAGCTGCCGAGGCGTAGGGTAGTCGAAAAGCAGCGTGTCCGGGAGCATGCCGGGGATGATTAATCCCGTGACGTCGAGCGTTGCGATGAGGCGGCCACGGAACTCCGTGATGCCGAGCGAGTCCAGCCCGCCCTCCATCACCGGCATGTCGTGCGGCAGCGTGAAGCCGCAAATCTCCTTGCCGACAGTGTCGATCACAGTCTGGAGAGCGAGCGCGGTGGTGGCATGGTCCACGTACACCTCGCTCCGGGGGGATGACGCTGAAGATGCAGGCTCATCGCTCCCGCTCTCGCTCGAGACGCTGGACGCAGCTTCTACGCTCTCGGGCGGCGACTGTGGCTCCGGCACAAGCCACTGCAATGAGGCCATCCCCGAGGTGATCTCGTAGGCCCGCCGACCCATGGCGTCGATGGCGGCGAGGACGCAACCGCAACCGCGGGACGTCGGAGCGGGTGCTTCCAGGAGGGGCTCGATCAGGGTTCGCGTCGACAGCCGCTCCAAGAGCCCTCTATCGACGTCGAGCCAGCCGCGCACTCGCAGCGAGGCGGAGACGCCACGCGCGCCCGACCAGAAGAAGCCCGACAGGGTGGTGCGAGGCGGCAGCGACAGGAGGGAGGAATAGAGGCCCAGGAGTGCAGCAGACGAGCTTGTCCGACCCACCTGCTGCCGCAGCCGCAGCGCCCGCGCGGCGCTGCGCTCGAAGGTCCGGAGCGAAACGGGGCACACCTCGGCGGAGAGAGTCGGGGGTGGCCCGTCGATGCGGCAAGCAACCAGGTGCTCCTGCCTCAGGCCGACTAGGCCGTGGCAGTCCTCGAAGGCCGACCCGTGGTCATGGCGGTGCTCGCCATGCGGCGGCACGGAAGTGTGGTCCACTCGCAGCGTGCCCTCCACTCCCAATAATACAGCGACCGCCACCGCGCCGTCGATCGACGCATCGGGCAGGTCAATAGACACTGCAAGAGCGAGTCGGCCGTCCCAGGCGTCGCTCCGGATCCAGTTGGCGCAGCTCAGAGTCGCTGGCATGCTTGCGTGTCCGCCACTCGTGTGGTCGACCCCCTCGACGTCGGTGCAGCCGTGCGACTCAAACAGGGCCATCAGCGCCGACTTGATGCTCTTGCTGCGATCTGTGAGCGTGCTCGTTTGCACGGCGACCAGCCCGATCTCGGACCATAGGTGCGGCGCGGCGAGAAGGAGCTGCAGCACCGCGCTCATGGCCATGGAAGCCGCATCCTCGTCGACGCCTGGCACGCTCACCTCTGCTATCATCTCGCCTCGCGTGTAGCGCCCGGGGCAGCCGTCGACTGCCTCCAGGGCCTCGGCGCTGTGAGCAAACGCGGGGGCATAGACGGAGATCTGCTGCAGGCAGACAGGCGTCTCACGGCAAGCAGGAGACGGACGCTCGTGTCGCTCTGCGGGCTAGCGCCCGCACCGCTGCGCAGAATTCACTGCGAACCAGCGAGACCGGCCTGGTGTCGGCGCGGGGTCTGCAGACTGCTGCGGGTCCCTGTAGCAAACGCTGCACCTCAACGCGCACCTCGGCTGAGCTCCCCGCCTCGTAGCACACAACGTGGTGCAGCTGTGCGAGTTGGGCGGCGTCAAGACGCTCGGCCGCAGGCGGCGTAGAGGCGCGCGTCAACCGCAGCATGTTCCTCAGGCCGACTGCCGGGTGCTTCACGAGGGAAGCGGCAAAAGCGAGGGCCCGGCCTCGGCCGGCGCCGACTTCCACAACCTCGTGCGGTCCACACCAAGCAGGCGGGCCTGTGGCCCGGGGCGCCGGCTCCTCGAACACGACGTAGTCGGGCTGCAGCTGAGTGGCGACGCCCCTGCCGCGCTCCGTCGCGGCGACCACGAGAAGCAGCGGCAAGCCCAAGCCGTGCAATGAGGCGCGCGCCTCCGCAATGCGCTGCATGACGCAGCGAGTGGGCGGACCGGTGACGGCACACTCGATCACGATGGCGCGGAGCGCGTCCAAGGACTCGGCCTCAGCCAGTTGCCAGCTGGCTGCTGCGATCGCATGCCAGCACTCGCGGGCCGAAGCAGGCCTCTCGAGCCGTGCGCACGCGATGCCGTCACAAAGCGTAAAGGCAAGGTCGAGAGCACCCCCGTCGCGCCAAGCATAGCCGGCGGTGTCCAGCCCGTCGCTGGCGTCCAACGCACAGAGCAGCGGGTCCTCTCCGTCCTCAAGCGGCACCTCCAGCCAACGCCGTCTCCTCGCCATCAATGAGCCTTGGCGTGCGTCCGGCTCGTGCTCTGTCTCTACAGCCGCCACAGCCGTGCTCTCCCACGCCGAAACTGCAGATGCCTCCCCGACAAACAGCGCTTCCGCCTCGTGAGTGCGCTCGTCGCTCCAATCGTCGGCGCGCTCAGCCTCTGGCAGGCGGCCGGCCAGGCCGGCCAAGAGGCACTCGGCATGGCCCATCGCCTCCTCGCAGAGCAGACGCGCGTCGATGGGTCGTCGCAGCACCAAAGCCTGCTCGCGCAGCTCGGACCTCCTCGCCACGGCATACGCGAGCTGCAGGGCGCGCCTCTTGGCCGAATCTGCCGAATCAGACACCTCGTCGATCAAACCGGCTCGCAGCGCATCGTCAGCCGACAGGATCTCGTCGAGGAGGTAGAATTCGCGCGCACGCGCGGCGCCGATCGCGGCCGGCAGACTCTGCGAGTACCCCGCGACTGGGCAGACGCCGCGCGACAGGTTGCCGTGCTGAAAGAGCGCGCGTGAGTCGGCGACCCGATAGTCGGTTTGGAGGAAGAGGGCGGCAGCGCCACCAACCAGCCGGCCGTGGAGCGCCGAGAAGAGCGGCACTGGCAGCGCCGCGAGGGTGACGAAGCCGAGGATCATCTCCAAGATCTCTTGGGCGCAGCAAGAGACGCTCTGCCAGCTCGGCCTGGCATAAGGGTTGCCACCGGCGCAAAAGTGGGTGCCCGCACCCTGCAGCACGACGGCACGGAGGTCTGCGACTCCACTCAGCAGCTCCACCGCTGAGTGAAAGTCGCGTCCGAGCTGCGGCGCGATTGTGTTGAAGTGGATGGGGTCATGCAGCTCGAGGATCGCGATGCCATGCGCGCTGTCATAGCGCACGCGTACCAAGGACGCCCCCTCAGATGGCTCTTGCGCGACGCTCATGACCACCACGCTCGTGGCGCATGGTGCACTGGTGCTGTTCGGGCACGCGATCGAGCCATCCTCGTCGTCCTCGAGGGGCGCGCGGACCGAGAGGATCACTTTCCCCAGGTTGGAGCCATCGCGCAGCGAGCGCAGGCCCGACTGGATGGAGCTGAGCTCCAGCGAGAGGGGTGTGTGGGGGATCGGCCGGACCACACCCGCGTCGACACGAGCGATGAGCACGAGGAGCTGTTCGCGCAGCCAACCCGGGCTCCTGTCCCAACCGGGGCAGTTTCGACATCCGGCGTCGACTGCGATCGGGAGATAGGTCACGCGCGGCTGAGCCGCGGCCGCACGAGCCTCGCTCCAGATGCCTCGCTTCCCAATCTCAAGGAAGCAGCCGCCAGCGGAGAGCAGCCCGAGTGTCACGGGCTGAAAGTCTTTGGAGAGCGCGGTCAGCGCGAGCCGCAGCCGGTGTCCCCGCAACAGCCGGCCCGCGGCGTGAGCAAGCGCCTGCGGGCTGCGTGATGAGGCGCGCGCATGGCGCCGCATCGGCACGCAGAAGGCGTGCTTGTGCCTATTCCCTGCGGTGCCGAGAACGGCCGCCCGGATCCAGCAAGTGTACTCGAGCGCGCTGAGGCCCACGGCGCCGCTCACCGAGTGCAGCAGAGCGGCGCTGCCGCAGGCTGGCCTCGCCTCGCAGAGGCAGAAGTGTGCCGTGGTCCACACGACGGGCAGCGTGGCCGCCTGCTCGAAGTCGAGCACGCGTGGGACCGCGGCGAGGTATCGGCCGTCTTGGCGGATGAGGCTCATGGCGCAGCCCGTGGCGAGGCCAAAGACGCGCGCGCCGGCCCGATGCAGGGCGGTGCTCCCAGCGCGGCGGACGATGCCGGCGCCCTCTGCGCCGAGAGGGCGCAGGTCGCCGGAAGGGTCGAGCCCCAAGACATTGAGCACGTCACGAAAGTTGAGACAAGCGGCTTGCACGGCGATCTCCACCTCGTTCACGGCGGGGCAGCCCCGCGGCACCGGCTGTGCGGCGATGACTATTCCATCTAGGCTGCCCGGCTTGGCAACCTGCAGCTGCACACGGCCCCCAGTCGCAGGCACGTTAAGCTCTAGCGATGCTTCGCTCGCCGTGGTGGAGGGGGATTGCAAGGCGGCGATGGGCCAAACGGTGACGCGAGCGTCGGGCAGCTGCATCATGGGCTCCTCGCACCAGGGGAACCGCCGCCTGTGGTACACGAGCCTCGAGCCGGTTCGCACGGGAGGCCACGACCCGGCGGCGACGCGCCGCAAAATGGCGTGCGAGATGGTGCCGCTGTAGCCGAAAGAGCTCACGCCAGTGTGCGCGTCGCCGGCGGCTCGCGAGCCGTGCTGGGCGCACACACGACAAGCGTTCCCGATCGTCTCTCGGATCAGGGGGTTGAGGGTGCGCAGCTGCGCGGCTCCATATTCAGCGACCGATCGCGTCGCGCGGAGCACGCCGACGAGCCCCGACGCGGGCTCGAGGTGGCCAACGTTCGCCTTGGCGGCCGTCAGCCAAGGCGGCCGGCAGCCGCCGCCGAGCGAGGCCGCGAGCGCGCCGCTCTCGGTTGGGTCCCCAAGCGCCGTCCCCGTTCCGTGCGCCTCGACTGTACCGAGGCCGTCGTCGGTGCGGCCGGCGCCTCCCAGGGCGCGAGCGAGGAGCGCCCGCTGCGCCGACCCGTTGGGAGCCGTCAGCGACGCGCTGCGCCCGTCCTGGCGGACGGCAGAGCCCGCGAGGGACGTGTCTGTATGTGGGGCCGCCACATGGACGTACTGAGCGAGCACACCCTCGGAGCGCACGTACCCGTTTGCGCGTGCGTCGAATGTCTTGCACCGCCCGTCAGGCGAGAGCATGCCCGCCGCCGCGGCGAGGAGAGACATGTAGGGGAAGAGCTTCAGGCTCACGGCGGCGACGAGTGCGCCGTCGCACTCGCCGGCCCGAAGCGCCCGGCAGGCCGAGTGTAGAGCGACGAGCCCAGAGGCGCATGCTGTGTCGACGCTCTCGCACGGCCCGTGCAGGCCGAGGCTAAAGGAGAGCCGGCCGGCCGCGATGGAGACCGCGTCGGCGGTCACGGCGTAGGAGGAGGCGCGGCCTGGTCGCAAGGCGCGAAGCAGGGCCCAATCGGGCCGCTCGATCCCGAGGAAGACGCCGGTGAGGCTCTCGAGCAGTGTGGACTTGCACGCCCCCGACGCGTGCAGCGCCTCGTATCCCGTCTCGAGCAGCAGCCGCTGCTGCGGGTCCACCACCGCCGCCTCTGCAGGCAGCACGTGGAACGCTCGGTTGTCGAACATCTCGGCTTGGCCGATGAAGCCTCCAAAGCGAGCCGCGCGCTGCTGGGTCTCATTCGCACTCCGCAGGTGGCTCCCGGCGGCCAGCCAGCGCGAGGTGCACATCTGGCCGATGGCGTCGCCGCCCGCTGCCAGCGTCCGATGGAGCGAGAGGCGGGACGCGCACCCGCCCGGCAGCCGCGCCGCGGAGCTCTGCAAATGCAGTGGCGACGGGCTCGCGCCCTCGTGCCCATAAGCGCGCGGGCAGGGGCGGGCCTCGCCGCTGGGCTGCTGCAGTTGCTGGATGTGCGCGGCCATGGCACGCGGCGTCGGATGCTCGAACACGAGAGTGGGTGAGAGGCGAAGCTGCAAGCGCGAGCGCAGCTGATTGACTAGCTCTGTCGAGGCCATCGAGTCGAGGCCCGCCTCCATCAGCGGCGTGGTGGGTGTGATGGTGGCGCCGGATGGCACGAGACCCCTCGCCAAGGCCACGATGCACGATACAAGATCGACCACGCTCGCAAGCTCGGCAGGGTGCGCGGCAGCGTCACTGTCGCCTCCGGCCGTTTCGCCGGCAAGGCCACCTGGGCGGAGCTCATCGTAGAGGGCTTGGTCGGGGCTGGTCACCCGTGCGAGGAGAGCGGTGACGTTGGCGGGGAGGGGCTCGAGCGAGACCGGCGGCCGCAATAGCTGATGCAAGGATGCCCGCAGGCTGGAGAGGTACTCGTTCGCCGAGACAGCAATCATCCCTCGATAGTGCATTTGCTCAGAACGGAAACTCGTCTCGCTCATGCCCACGCCCGCGACTAGCGGGAACTGCAAGCAAGAGGCCGAAGCGCCAGCGCTCGAGCGGAGTGTCGCCAACGATTCGAGGCCGCCGTTGGACGCCGCGTATGCGACCTGCCCCACATTGCCCAGCGCGGACGCCGAAGAGGAGAACAAGAGGAAACGGTCGAGCGGCAGCGTTGCCGAGGCCCGCGAAGCGATCGCGGCGGATACCGCCTTGCCCGCGAAGAGTGCGCGGAGGTGCTGCGGCTCGGTGCGGCTCAGCAACGCGCGATGTATTGTCCCCGCCGCGTGCAAAAACCCGGTCGGCGGGTGCCCGCAGCCCGTCAGGCTCATGAGCATGGCAACTACCTCGTGCGCGGCGGAGACGTCGCAAGCCAGCGCCACCACCCGCCCGTCAGATGGAATCGCTCTCAGCGCATCCACGCCGCCGCCACGGGACCCGTCTCCCGTCGTTGCCGAATCCTGCTGCCCCCCGGGAGAGGCCTGGGGGAATCGTCCGCTCCGCGAAGCCACCACGACCACCGGAGCGCTCTCGCAAACGACGCGTGCCGCTAAGAGGCCGAGCCCGCCCAGACCTACGTGGGTGCGCAGACGGTTGTGGTGAGGGGCGCAAACAAAGGCAGAGAACACATCGAGGCGCAAGTGCCTCCGGTGATGACAAATGCGCCCGAGAGGGCGCGGGGCGAAGCGCCCGAGACGACGGCGGGGGCAGCACACGCGCGACGCAGCCGCGCCGCGTGCGAAGTGCCGTCGGAGAGCGCAAGCTCCGCGTGCTGCGCGCCGACGTGGCCGAGGCTCATCGCACTACGCAGGGAGGCCGCCGCTGCGTCGCAGCTGCGCGTAACCGAAATGTCAGCGTAGAAGACATCGAGGCGTGGGTGCTCGAGCCGAAGGACGCGGCAAAAGGAGCGGACGCTGCCCACGAGCGGGTCGGTGGGCACGACCGGGGGGCGGCGCGGCCAAACATTGAACGCCCCAACGGTCAGGAATAGCAAATGAGCACACGGCACAGCCCGCACGAGTTGCTGCGCTACAGGCAGCAGAGACCCGAGCGCGGACGCGACCAGGATCGCCACCTTAGCAGGCGGCCCCTCTGCGTCGACGACGCGCGAGAGCGCCTCGAGCGCCGTCGTCTGCGTGCGTAGGTTTGCGACGGCAGAGAGCGCCGAACGCAGAGGATGGGCGCGAGCTTCATGCCGCTCCGAAACATCTGGGCCGCAGAGGTCAAGGGCGATCCAGCTCTGTATGGAGGCGGTGCGTAGCGGCGTGCCACGCCACGCGACGTCTGGCCGGGGGCGCGTCAAAGGGACGCCGCCGCTGGTGTCGAGCCGAGGGAGCGGCATCGGTGGCCAGCACACAGAGTACGAGCAGAGCGCGTGAGGAGGCATCGCCGAGTTGGACTGTGGAACGGCGTCTTGCGGGGAGGGCGCAAGCGCGCCCGTCCAGCCGAACCGGCGCCGACGGTACTGCGGGCCGCACTCCACCCGCCGAGCAAGCGCCCCGCGCCCCGCCTCGCCGGGCGCCGCGCGCAACACCGCGTGCACAATCGTGCCGCTGTAGCCAAAGGAGCTCACGCCGCCCTCCTGCGAGCCGGCCGCCGCGGCCGTCGAGCGCAGCGCCGCCAGCTGAGTCGGCAGCACGCACGCCTTGCCCTCCAGCGCCGCACTCACGTGCGGGTTCAGCACCCGCAGCTGCGCGTTGGGCGGCGCCTCGGCGCCGCACAGACCAAGCAACAGGCGCAGCAGGCCGCCCGCGCCCGCCGCCGGCTCGCCGTGGCCGCAGTTGGCCTTGATGCTGCCCACCGCGAGCGCCTCGCCGCCGCCGCGCCGGGCGAGCACCGCCGCGGCGAGCGACCGCGCCTCGATCGGGTCGCCGAGCGACGTGCCCGTGCCGTGCGCCTCCGAGCAGGCGAGGCTGTCGGCGACCACGGCTGCGTCGGC